CGGGGCGGAGGGAGGGGGCCTCGCCGCCTTCCCGCCGGCGCTGCCGGGCGGGCGGAGGAGCGCGCTCCCGCTGGGAACGGAGACGTGCGCGGAACGGTTTTTCTTAAGTGGTTAACGCAGTATTTTGGAAGCTCTGCACCGTCTCCTCCAGCTGATACTATAACGCGCATTTTTAAGGCACTTCTCTGTTTCGTTTACAGGGAAAAGGTGTAACGGGTTTGGCAGTAGGGAAGCACAGAGCAACTCTGTTCTCTACTCCTTGTGCTGTAGTCACCAAACATTGTTACCGCTTTTTAGTACCCGCCAACTTTCGCTTGTCTTCACCTCAGTCTACTGACCAATTGTTTTATTGCTTTCAAGATTACTGTATATCCAGCAATTTCCAAGTTTCAAATCATGGAGGCAGAACAGATTATGGAGGGACAGCCACAGGTATTGCAACATATATTCTATATGCATCATTTTACATGTGTGAAAAAACAAAAAGACATTTTGACTTTGCTGACCATGTATTATTTTACAGGTTCCAGAAAATCCTCATTCTGAATACGGTCTCACTGAAAACATAGAGGTAAAGAAGATTTTTTTGTTGCCAATTACAGTGGAAGGTCACGTTCCTGATCTGGGCGGGAGGGGGAAGTTACATGGAAACAAAACCAGCAGTAGTTGCTCCCTCTATACTAAACGATGCTGAAGTAAATAGTGAACCTCTTAATGTGATTTTCTTCTTTGGAAGTATCATACAATTATTATGCCATAAAAAGGCAGCAGGACTCTTATTGCAGAGAGATGAGTACGAGAAGCTGATTACATTTACACGAATGTATCAAAAGGAGAGATTCTTTTCATGTTCGTGCAGATAGAAACATTGGATCACAATAATCCAAACTATTTTTTTTGTGGTTGCTTATGCTGAGAAAGAGTAATTGCAATTCATTCTTTCTGCTGTTGGTAACAGAGTGAGTTAGAATAATGACTCTGTGATACTTGCTTACTATTTCTTGTTAAAGAAAGGCCTTCAATTTCCTTCTGTTGTAAGCTCTTACTGTACACTCAGTAACACTAGGTTTTGCAGAAACTGTTTCTTAAAACGCCCTTCCTGATAGATCTTCCTGATAATTTTTTGCTAGTGTGCCTTTCGGTTTCCATTAGGGGATCACAACATGTTGGATACATTGGGCACGTATGGTAGATCCACATATGTTGTGTTGAATGCATTTGGTTTAGTGACAGTGGTACTGTATCCTTTTTTAACTGATGGCATAAGATGATTCAGTACTTTTTTTAACGAAAAGGCACCTGGAAGCACTTAATGTATTTTTTTTTTTAACATATCTAAACATACTTTAATAGAGCATGGTCTCAAAGTGTTTGACTCCACCAAAGTTCCTTTTGTTGGACTTCCCCTGAATTTCTGTTGGGGATAAGACCCTTGTGCTTCTTGTTGGAAGTGCATACAAGAGCAATTTAATTGGGACCGCTCGTGTTAGTCTTAACTGTCTTTAATTGTGTATGTAGAATTAATCCTGTGAATGTCAAATCAGAAATAAAAATGACAGTGATTGAGTACCTTCTGTTTTAGACAAGTTTAGACTTCTGAAATTGTTTCCCCAAAACACAAGAATTTAGCACAAGGCTCCTCTGGCTTAGACTTTTATCCAAGGAAAAGTATGTACTTAAAATGTATTTTAAAATGTAAGGAAATTATTTCTAGCTAATTTGCAGAGAAACAGGTACTTCATTTGCACACACACTTCAAAGTAGATTTGGCTACTATTATCAATGTTCGTTCACTTTTTTTTTTTTTTTAATTCAGAGAATTAGTAGAAAATGAGAAGATAAACGCAGAGAAAACATCAAAGCAGAAGGTGGATCTTCAGTCATTGCCCACACGTGCCTACTTGGATCAGACCGTTGTACCCATCTTACTGCAGGGACTTGCTGTTCTTGCAAAAGAGAGGTTAGATGCTTAAATATTCCTTCTATTCTTAGGGGAAGAAGGGTCTCAAATTTGGATAGTATGTCACCTTTTCAGATCTGGCACACGAAACAGTTTTTTTAGTTTGATAGTTCTAAGAAAGTAATGTCAAACAGGTTGACAAATTGGTTTTTTTGAACATGCAAGATGTGTTCCTCGTTTAGCTGCACATAGTGTGATAAGAATTATTTAATCGATTTCTGATCTTCTAATGAGATGTGCTACTGCAAGGCTTTGGAGGCTTTTTTTTTTTTCATTAATTTTAGCACATAATTCACCTTATAGAAACAAGGCAAGAAGTTACTCTAGTTGTGGACAAGTTTTCCTTAGTGAAATGTTATAAGAAGTTCTGCTCAACTCTGCTGAGCATAGAAAGACAGATCAGGTCTGACGTACATGTTTGTAGTAGATTAAAGACTAGGAGATCAAAGACTAATGGATGAGGCTAACCCCCCAGTATCAACACAGTAGGAGTAGGTAAACTGATCATTTACCTTTTAAGTAAAGACTATTTTGCCAAGATGCCTCAAACGTTTATCAGCCAAACATAGAACTGTACTCTTCAGCAATAACAAACAGTTGTCCACTTTATTCGAATAAACTTACATGCTTTTGGTGTATCTGAACTATTGGTGAGTCATATTGCCTATCAACCATTTCCCAGTTTTTCTGAAAGAACATTATCAAAAGGTGGTTTGGGTGAACATAGTCACATTACAGTACATATAACCAGAACAACTATCTACATTGTCTTAACTTCAAAAGGAGCTGTGAATTTGAATGGAACTGTACAGATCAATAATTAGGCAAAAGAGCATTTAGGAAGGCATACCCTGCCCCTGTGCAGCGTACGGATCTTCCATTGACATTTGCGAGAGTTCTGCTGTAGATGGAATGTAATACAAGGCCTGATGTTGACAGCCCAGACCACGTTTACGTTCTTGATGCCTGTGTTATGGACAAACTAAACTTTTTTTTTTTTTTTTTGCATCCTCATTCGCTATGGAAGGAGCCTTTCTTTAAGGAGGCTTATCACAGTAGTCAAATCAGTCAAATCGGAATGTTGGTGGAAAAGCTTGTGGAGCGTACAGGAAGAAAATGAACGGTATCAAATTGCTGAGGTCAAACTGACTGTTCAGTTGAGAATATTAAAAGAACTCAGAGGTGAAACAACTGAACTACCAGCTCTGTTGTATAATGTCCTGCTTAAAATTGGACTGGAAGGTGACTAATAGATGCTATTTTTTTTTTCTAAGGGTTATGGAGAGGCTCAAGGAACAGTCCAGTGAGCCTGGTGACTGTGCCTGTGATTCAGTAGGAATTACACTGAAAGATAGTGAGCATATGGATAAATGATATTGGGAGGAGTCAACATACCTTTTATCAGGCCTCCTAAATCTCTTGGTATTCTTTGCAGGAGTTAACAAGCACAGGTAAACAGATGATATCCAGATGATATAGCCTGTTTAAATTTCCCAAAGGCTTCTGCCATAGTTTTTCACTAAAGGCTTTCAAAGAGAGTAAATTGCTATGGGATTAAAGGAAAAGCCTTTATATGGGTGAAGAGCTGGTTGGAAGGTGCAAGACAGAGGGTAGAAGTAAATGGTGAATTTTCATAGGGAAATGAGCTCACCACTAGGATCCTGCAAAGGATCATTCATAATGATTTGAAAAAGTGGATGACAAAATTTGCTAATGATACTATACAGCAGTATGCGGCTTTTTAAGTTGATCAAATGTAAACAATTGCACAAGGACTTTACAAACTTAATGTGAAATTGGGAAAGACTGCTTGAGGAAATGACGGATAAAACTGAATACAGATAAACAGAAATTATGCATCTAGGAGGATTAAAAAATGTCCTAATGCTATTAGTAAGATGATTGGTTTTGAGCTGACCATTACCTTGTGAAAAAGATCTTTGAATTGTTATAATAAATAGTTCCATGTATATGTCAATGCATTGCTCAGTCAACAAAAAAAAAATGCTAGGTCTTAGAAACTGAAGAGGCAAAAGTGAAGATAAGGTCACTATTTAAATTTATGGTGCAGTTATAGTTTGACTATTATGTGTAATTCCAGTTCCCCTCCTTTGAAAAGGTTGCAGTAGAATATGAAAAGGTAGAAGAGTGACACGGTGGTCAAAGGTATGGAATGCCCTCCATACGAGGAGTGACTGAGTAAACAAGGATAGTGGGAAAAGAGACTTCTGAGAGGGAATATATTAGGAATCTGTCAAATCACAAGTGGCATGAAGACAGTGGATTCAGATGGACCACCTCTTATTTCTTCCAACACAGTAGTCAGATGAAACTAGCAGGTGGCATATTGATAATGAACAAAAGGAGGTGATTCTCCACAAATCACATAAGCGATGGAACTTTTGGCCTCAGGAGGTTGAGGACATGAACGTTTTATGTGGGCTCATGGGACACCTGGTCCAAGTGGTATAGGAGGAAATCCACCCACGGTTATTAAAGGGGCGAGCTCAGGAGGCTGGTGAACTGTACATGCTTGGAGGCCAAGAGGGTGTTCCGGAGAGGTATCTCTGCACGCTTCTCTTTTTTTGTGCCCTTCATAGGCAACGCCTTTGGTCTGACCCAGTGTGGAATAAGTAAGCTTGTCATGTATTCCACAGACAGAATCTGAATTACCAGGATTCATGCACTGTAGCTGAAGGAGATTTTTAAACACTTGCAAAGTAAGGCCAGTGACTCAGAAGGATTGATTATTGACTACTTGCAAGTTAACAGTGCTTTTCAAATTTTAAGTTTGTTGTGTTCATTTAAAAAGAACCAGCAGTTTCCAGAAGCCATGAAAACAGCTCTAATGCATGAGCTAGCCAATAACCGTTAGGAGAAAATGAAGCAAGCTTTATTTTTACGCTGCAGCTTACCTTTTACTTTATATAGCACAAGGTAAAGAAACGGGCAAAGGCATAGCGCTTCCAATGAGTATTCACTCTAACAGAGTATACTCTGGTTCTAGGTATGTAACAGTTCTAGCAATTTAATAACATTGAACCAGAGGTGATTGGTGGTACTGATTGAAAACTTACTCATCAGACGTAAAACTGGAAATTTACTGGATAAGGCTGGGTAATTAGTCATCCCTAGATAAATGCTTATAGACGTTTGAGAGGAGTTACGTTGCTTTTCAGGGCAGGTGACTAGTTTTTCAGCCCCGTAACTTCATATAACAAATAGTAACTGCTCTTGATTTTCTTTTTCTTTACAGACCGCCAAATCCTATTGAATTTCTAGCAGCCTATCTTTTAAAAAACAAGTCACAATTTGAGGACCGAAATTAATGCCATTAAAATGAGGACAGTTTGGCTGCTAGACTGAAATGCTCACTTGCCGCAATTCATTTTCTGCTGTAAAAATCCTTTGGAACCATGATGTTGTCTTTCTTAATTGTACAATTTCCTTTACTTTGTGAGTTATTTAATAAAGAACACTTTACATTTTATTTGCTCACTTGTTTTGAACTAGCTATTAAGAGACTTTCAAAATAAAGCACTGAAACTGCACTACTGGATGAAAGTCTGAATAATTCCGTGGGGATACTTCCCCTGAATACATGAAACAAAAGGTAACGATCTATTATGGAACGTACACAGATGATACAGTATGTAACATAATTTGATTTTCCGTAGCACCTTTCTTGTGCAAGGTACCTAAAAATTTGAAGGCAAACTAATAAAGAGCAGTTAGAATTTATTGTGAGGATGGATTGACTGAGGTAGAGAGGAGAGAAGCTGCTTCAGAATACCATGAAATGTTTTCAGTAAAAACAGATAAATCAGTCAGGCTCAGTAGCTGAACAGATCAGCTGTAGACATTCTCAAAAATTTCAGATACTTTCATTAATGAAATGTGCTATTTAGTTATTTATCATGATCTCCTGTGACCGATAGGTTGTTTGAATTGTGCTGGATTTAACGGACCTACAGAATAAAGTTAGAAGGGACTTAAAAAGATTCTGTAATTCAACTCTTTGTACTAATTCAACTCTGTGTACTACTACTACTACTGCTAGCTCAAGTATCCTTTCTCTGTTTAAGATAAGGTACCTAGTGTCCACTTAAATACTGCCCGTCTTCTGATCTTTTTTTCCTTAGGTTTACTAACACTTTTCCTTTTTGGTTTTCTCCAAACGTTCTTCATATCTTTTTCTGACCCCTTCCTGCTTCTGTCTGCTGAGATTTCCTCAGTAGAAATACAAGAAACAACAGCAGAAGGAAGATAAGTCCCTAGAGAGTGGGGATCAGGAGAAAAAGATAAAATTAAGACAGTAGACAATATGTTTTAAAAACATACCAGCAAAGCTCTGAAAATCTGAATATTGCAGCTGGAGAACAGGCGTATCAGGTTACAGGAAATAAGTGCAGGGAGGAGACCTAGCTTTCAAAATTCTCAATTTTGTTTTTGCAAGGAGTGTAAGCAGTGGTGCTCACTAACATTGGATACTGGAATCCAGATTAAGCGTGGCCCAATTTTTATGGACCAGTAGAATGACCATAAGTTTGTTTGACAGTGACAGAAACGGTAAGTTTGGTTTCCAAGAGTTGCTCGTGTAATCAAAGTTCTTACAAAGTTTTTATATGCACAATTTTATTTTATTCTTTTATCTTCAGTATTGCCATCTTACTGTTTCCTTCTCCATCCTGTGTTTTCTCCTTTAGCTGGCAGAACATAACAAGCTGTTAAAGCCTTGTAAGTTAAATGCTTTGGTGCCATCTAATCCTACATAGCTTTTGGAAGGGTAGCAGTAGTTTAGTCAGGAAGTTATAGTTTGAAAAGGAAATAACTTGATAATTTGATGAGATTAGGAAATGAAAAATAATTTAAAATATTACTGCAAAATTGTTAGAATTAGGTTCTTAAAATAAAAGGAAATAACAGAGCTAGGGTTCAGGGAAGCACTCGTAGTTTTATTCCTTTTACCGGTATGGAAACCTTCTCATTACCTGATAACGTATCTGCTGTTTGCCTTGTACTTTTTCCTTTTGCTTCTTTCTCAGGCACTGTAGAACCTTTCTTTTGGGTGCTTGATGTGACAGATGCCTGTGGTCTGTTGCCATTCTGGCAAGGGTTCCAGGTATTTTCCGTGTGAGATCAAATAGACTGCACAATTTGTTTGGTAATTATGCATAAATTCTCAAAAAAGGACTTAAGACTCATATTAGACTTTTTCCTGTGATGGCTTAAAGATGTACACTGTATTTGCTAAAATGCAAGTATATCCAGGTGTCCCGTTGCACAAATAATATTTTCCCTCTTATGTGACATAAAGATGACTTTTCTATAATAATCTGGAGATTTTTTTCATTTTAATTGTTTTACTGTGGTTTTGCTTCTTTAATAGCTTAGCTACATGGGCATAAGAGTGGTGAGAAGAGGGATCCTTTGGGGAAAAAGTTAACTTCAGTTGTCCAAGAATTCAGAGGGCCTAGGGAATGAGAACTGGCTCTTCCTCCTACTACAAAGACTCTCTCAAAATGTTTAGTATTCCTTAATATGCGATGAGGTAAACATTGAATTCATCTAGTCCAAGGGCAGTAAGACTAGGGAACAAAAAAAAAAAAACAAAAACGGACACCCCCTCCCAGCCCAAATCTAAAAATTGGCAGCTGTGTTTTGGAAAAACATACAGAAACTGGAATGAAATTACTAATCCTGTCAGGTATCACGGGGGACACAGTCTCCATCAAACACTGAAACTTAAAAAAAACAAACAGGATTTTAACAGCAGTATTTAGATTTATTGGAATGAATAAGGGCATTGAAAGTGTCTTATCTTTCCCTGCTTTTATTTTTGAAGAGGAAAACCCATTCTTTGTGCTATTTCCTTGTGCCACAATCTTTTTTATTAAGTTCAGATTCCTTTGTGCTCATAAATGCAAAAAAGTGTTATTTTTCTCTCACCTTCAAAAGTTGGTTGCACTTGAATTGACATGTTTATATTTACTGTAACGCATTATTACTGCTTTTGAGAACGCTAGGAACAAAAGATTTATTCTAGGAGCAGAGAACTACTTAAAAGGAGGAGCCGCAGATATGTGTGTCAAAATCGGTTGTACTCTGAGGAAAGAATCCTGAACGTGCTAGAATGAAACTTCACTTTCCTTGTAAGTTCTGTGTGATTTCACAGAAAATGTGTACAAATGTAAGTGTTTTTAAAAATAGCAGAACCACGTATTTGCAGGTACAACAGAGAAGCTGAGTTCATCTACAAAACCACCACCTATGGGGATCCAGACTACGTGCTGCCATCACTAATGTGTGCACCCTCACTACAACTAAAGGATGCTCGCTGTAGGGTAAGCCGCTTTCACAGATGTCACTGAAAAACTAATCATGTTAGCAGTTTCCCTGTTAGCCTTTTAAAAATAGATAAGTTAATTGAGTTGAAACAATTAATGCAAACAGTAAGAGAGGCCGAGTTAACTCATACCAGTTCCTTGCCTCACTCAAGGCAGACCTGTAAGAGTACAGTGGGGAAAGGAAGGAAAAGTAACACTATGTGCCTACAATCTAGAAATAAGATATTACTTGCAGGGAACTGAAAAGATAATTCGAGATGGATAGTCAGGAAGGATATGCAGTGGAAAGGCAGCAACAGAGATCAGAGTATGGTTTTGTTTCCAGAAGGAATATGAGTGAAGATGAAGAGATAGACCATAAAGAGAGACTTAGTAGTGCTATTTTTCTTGTTAAAACGGCATTTCAAGGTTTCATCCACAGGTGACAACATTTGAAGACTGTTTGCTAAATCTTAAAAAAAAAAAAAAAAAAAAAAGACAAACAAACAAAAAAACTATGCTGATCTCCAATTTCTGCATTGAGAACTCGTGCAAGACCATACAAAAAGAAGCAGCTCAACTATTGTCTTTACCAGCCATGCCCACATTCAGAATACAGATTTCTCAGTTCGCAGTAACATCCTTTATACGGCTGCACAAAACTTAGTAAGCACTCCGGCTTTCCGTACACCTCATGGATGAACCTAGAATCTCTAAGCGTCAGCACCAGTTTTCAGCGGAGCTGCCCTGCCAGCAGCACACCAGCACCCTCGCTGGGTGCACAGCCCCCTGCTGCTGTCTTCCCATCTAGGCTAGCTCAAGAGAATGAAAAAGCTACATTCACAAGGTAATGCTGTTAAAAGATGTACTGTAACAGCTTCTCTGGGAGGCTCGAACCAGGAAAATAAGTTGAAATGTTAATAAGAGCAGCAAGCTAACGAGTTCTAAGAAAGAAATTTCAGCGATTCATACAAGGGCATGACAGGTCAATAAGAAGAATACAACCATGTTCCTTTACTTGTTAAACTGGCTTCACCAATTAGGATCCCCTAAATAGGGAATACTGTATAACAGGATAAGAAGCAGCGAATTACTATTATCAGAACCATATCTGCTTAATCCAGTTCTCAAGGTTGTGGAAATAAGACAATGTCCAAATTTTAAAACCATTTACTTGTTTTTTAAACTCCCCCACTACAAAACAATGATAATTCTGGGAAGAGGCATGCCTCATGTGTACTATCCCAATTTAATCCAGAAAGAAAGAAGTAATGTAATTTTTTCCACAAGAAACACCAGTTCTCAGGGCTTCAAAATGAAATGTGTTTAATTTTTAAATGTAAATTAAATATCAAGACATTTTAAGTCTGTATAAAAATGAGGAATTATGCTCACCAATAAAATGGAGAAGAGATGTAAGGGGCTATAACTTACTAACAGATCTAAAAAAAAGGCTTAAATAAATAAATAAAAATGGCAACTTCAGATGTATGGCAGTCCATTGCTAAATAGCCAAAAGCCATATCTCTTGTTTCCTGAACAATTGCTTTTTAGCTTTCCCCCCGCTTCCCTAGGTAACTGAATCAGTATGTCCTCCAAAGGGCAATAAAATTAAGCAGAAACTAAAACGTAATACTTAATTAATACTAGATCACAACTTCCATGATGACAAAGAAAACAAAGCATCTTGGATCCAATATCATGGAGTTACTACTACGTAACGTTGAAAGAATTATATGCCAATCACACACAGTACTCTGAGGTCTGCCTTTGTAAATACTTCCATTGAGTACATTATCTTTTACCTTGAAGGGTGAGTGACAGAAGAAAGGATTTCCCACTAAAAGCCATTCTGATCAAAGGATTCCACATCTTCATATTCTGAAGGCAGTTCCTACCTAAAAATACAGTTTGACTTGCCAAACCTTGTCAGATTTTTTTTAATGCCTCTCCCATTTACACATGGCATTGTCCAAAGGCAGTACAACTCTTTGAGCTATCCATTCTGCTTTCTCAAGTGCTGTAGCTATTGTGAATTCAGGTGTGATCAAAAGAATTTGCAAAGCCCTCTCCCCACCAAACTTTCTAGAATAAAGCAATTGCTTTCATATACAGGAAAAATCTGAAAAATCCTGAAAGATATAAGCAGCTGAAAACAGTACGC